AGAGCAGAGTTCATCTGAGCAGCTCATTTAAAAAAAAAAAAAAAAAAAAAAAAAATCATTTTGGCTCAAATGAGTTTCCAAAGGACTGACTTCTCTGTGGAATAATTTTATGTGTGAACTTAACGCCGATTGCAGTACTTTTTTTACCTCTGCGTTTCCACTGAATTCAATGGAGTTTGGCCTTCCACAGAAGTCTGTGCATCTGATCGTGCTGATGAAAGGAAATTTTGCTTATTGTGTGACAAATGTACTTCTGAAAACTGCATTCTACCTTTGCATTTTTATGTAATCACTAGACTTATTAAACTTCCCTTGGCTATTTGAGGGCTAAGTTGATGAGTTTTTGTAAACTTAAAATAGTTGGACATGAAGCAATGTGGAGTATCTGTAGCTATCTTATTTATCTTAGTTGATTGTTATGACATTCAGTGGTTTATATTTAATTTCTTATGTGTGGGTGCCTCAACTTTCTATGCTTTAATTGACACATTCTTTCAAATTCTTTATTCTTGAATTTAAATGCTATATTACAATTTCTAAGAGTATTTATTGACTGAGGGCAGGTACGTGATAAGTAGAAGCTTTGCAATGAATCGTAAAAACTTACCTGAAGGTGTTGTTCTGTTTTGTTTCTTAACCAAAGTTTTGTTTAATGCTAGAAGAAGGTCAGTCATTACCTTCATCATGTGACAGCTGCATGCATTTTCTTTCTTCAGCCTCTATGAGAGGACTCAGTGGAGAGACATTGTGTGAAAGAATGGGATACTTGATTGTTTCTTAAAAGATTAATTCAGTTCACTTGCATTATCTGAAAGAACCATATACACAAATGTTTCACGTATTCCACAATATGTTTTTATGTCTACTTTTACTGTAGAATACTGTATAGATTAAATATTTAAATTTTTGGGGAACTTGCCGAAAACATTAAATCCATGACAGTGATAGCCTTCTGCATTGCTCTTTCTCGTACTAACAAATGACCTATTTATTAAAATAAATGTTTCAGAACTTTTAAAACGTTTACTTCTTCTTTTATGGCTTTTCATGATTTTATCCTAGTACTGAAATATTATTTTGCCTAAGAAATAGAGCAGATCATAGAGCTGCTCTTAATTAAAACTGAATATACAGCTTAAAGCCTTAGGTCGTTTAATCTGGGAGGAAGAAGGGAGGAGAGTCACATTTTTCAATGTGCAATTAACACCGTGATTCTGTATCATTAAGAAACGGGCAGATTTTCCAAAGAGCAGTGAGACCAACCTATCATTACAAAAGGGCACTGACTTATGTATGAGGAATTAACTGAAAAGAAACATTATCATCATGGTTTGGGGATTTGTTTATTTTGTGTTAAGTACCTAGGTTCGTATTTATATATATTTCCAAATATTGAAATACACATCCCTAAACTAATAGGCATTTTGTTATAATAAAAATTATGCAAACACTATCATCACCATCAGAACTGCTGTATACATTTCCCATGGTTATAGACATTGTGGCACTTCTTGTGCAGTACAAAAACATGTTTGGATTTTCAGACCTAAAAATTGAGTTGCTTAATGACTGTCAAAATGTATTAATTCTAGTTGTTCTAAAATCTACAAGATTAGTGAGATTTGTGGGAGTGCGATTTTACTAGTTCCTAACATTTTTTCTTCGATAGTGGATGTGTAGCATAAAGGAAGTGTAATGACGCACAGTGAAAAATACTGATGTGCATTCTTAAAGTGTAACCAAATTTGTGTTTTTTGACTCCTGGAGACTAATAATAATTGTCTATAAGGTCCCATTTTGCTCATGTTTATGCACGTTTCTATCTCTGTCAGAACAAGCAGTTTCACTGAACTACTGAGGCTCCTGAACTGAATATAGTAACTTATTTGCAAGATTGCTGCCTGCCTAGAAATGATGCAAACGTACTTGGATACTTTAAAGTATGTTATGGTGTTTATGTTCTGTGTACAAGTAACACTATGTAACAGAACAATCTGCTGTTCGCATTTTGATGCTGTGTGTTACAAATGACTTCTGGGTAGTTCAAGGAAAACTACAGATTTTTATTGTAGAAAACTGTGTTTGATGTATGTGGTTATTTTGTTGTAGCTGTCTAACTTGCAGGGTGTTCTTCCTTCAGAGGTAGTGGTTCAGTTTTCTTTGTATAAAGTCCAGTGGCCTATTTTTTTCTTAAAAAATAGTTGCTGTTAAGTTGAAGGCCCATGCAGAAGGTTTTACTTCCTTAATCCAACATAAGCTTTATTTTGTCACCAGATCAAATGGCTTTCAGAATTGAAAGTTAAGGTTTTTCTAAGAAGACAAGGGGATTTAAACATGTAGTTTCCATGGTAGGCAATATAGGAGAATTCAGTCCAGTATTCTTTGTCTGACCTTCATGATGTTCTCTAACCAAAATCCTTCTCAGCTGCAGCTCAAGGTAAAGGCTGGTAGCATTGTGTGCTCCTGTGAATGGAGGCTGGAGCTAAAATAGAGAGGCAATTACAGACATTGTGGCCCAGAGCACAACATTCAATATCTGATCCTCAGCTAGTAGTGAGGAACATTAAGAGCTTTGGTTTTGTCCTGCTGTCAACATCACAGAGTAGGTTCTCTTACTCAAGAAATTAATTTTAACTAAGTCAGTTCTTTTTTAGTTGGGAGCGTAGGTGTCTTCTAACACTGATTTCTCTTTTTACCTCCCACATCAGTACTATAGTAAGGTAGTTTGTTTATTTTTTAACCTTTCCAAAAGCCATGGATATATCTGTCCTAGAAGTTAAACTATATTCTAATGCCATGCTTATATTGTCTTTACCTTAGTTATTTTCACTTCTTTGGTGGTCTTGCCAATGTGGTTTTGTAAAGCAACGGAATACTCAACTTTTTTTCCATTTAGTTGCTACTCCAATGTTGCACACCTTTCATTTGCATTAGACTTTGGTTTCTGATCAATGCAAAGATAATATTTAATATTTTATTATTTGTAGTGGCTTTTAAAAATCTTAGGTTCTGAGTTTTCCTATCTGGCACTTTGATTTATTTCATCAATTTTGTATGGCTTTTAACTTTGGGGTGATACGGATTTATGTGCCTAGTCTTTGTATCTGTGCAATTTTCTAGTGCAGAGATTCCTTTCATGTTGTTCCAAAGTGGTCCATTCTTTTTATTTATTTCTGTATTTTATATCTGTAATGCAGTCTGATATTGGAAGAATACTTTCTAAATCATCAGCACACTAACCACTTGGTGTTTCTGAAGGATCATGTCAACGTTAAAAAGCCACTCTTAGTAATATTTCCATCCATAACTAAGATCGTATTTCCATCCCAATAATGATAAAGCTGTGGGACACACAGCAAACTGACATTAGAGATTGCATGCTGAAGGTAGGAGAATGAGAGATTGTCCCCAGCCTTGGGTTTTTCTCCAGTAGGAAAACAACAAGTAAAATAGCTTGGAAGGTTGAGTACTTAGTAATTAAAATATTACTAAACAATGTGCCTGGATTTCTAAAACGAATGAAAATAAGTGTGTGTACTTGCACAAACGTGCCTTTAAAATAGCTTTCCTTTTTAGCAATGCTTTTATAGCTCTTCTGTTCATTTTCTTTTTTTAATCTCCTTCATCCTTTTTCATATAATATATAAAGGCTTTTTGGTGGTAATAGCTGCCAGCCTTCCATTACCAAACCCACAGCTGCACTGTCAGTATCTTCAGCAGATTAGATCCCTCTTGAAACTGCATATACTGTTTTTTAAAACACTGAATTTTTCTCATTTCAAAAAGAGAATGTGGATTTTTGTTATTGTTCTTATTTTAGTAACTTTAAGATCTCTAAATTTATTTTGGAAATAATCTTATTTTCTTTTAACTATGTAATGCATTTGGACATTTTATTCTGACTATTGTATGAGCGCTAGTATTTTCAGAGTAATGAGAGGTGCTTTGAATCCATAGGTCCTTTTCCTGCAAGCTGATTTTAAATCATCTTGAACTACTAAATAATAGTGATAAACAATAGTGATCTGATTCTTTTTCTTGATGCCTGATATCGGAGAGAGACAAGATCTTTTATACTCTTTTACAAAGAGAGACAGCACAAAGCCCATGTGTTTCTGAAATCCTTCAGAAGCTTTTGGGTTAGATCTCTGATGTTGTATAAACCCATGATGACCATCAGCTTGCAAATGGTCATCGTGGGTTTATGGATTGCAAATGGATTTTGTTTTATGTGATTTAAGACTGCAAATATGTTGTTTGTAACTGCATCCATTATGTATGAAAATAACTAGAAAGTACACTGGGCCAAATCCAGAAGTTGCTTTTGGGGGAAGAAAACAAAAACTGACATTTTAGGATAACTGACATTTTAAAATGGACTTCAGATTTGACTTAGTCCGTATCTAATGATTGTTACTGCCTTTGTAAGGGCTTGACTTCCACCTTCTTTTTTAATGTTGAATTTTTTGTTATTATTATTACTCCTTTGAACACCTCCTACCTTTACCTTAGTTTTATTATTAATATTCTGTGGCCCTTGTACTTCCCAAGTGACAAGTGTATATGATGGGACTCCATGCATTTCCCTTCCTATGTCAGCTCAAGTAGAGATTTGACTTTCTTCTGTGAGAAAATTACAACAGACTGGGGGTCAGCTAACGCAAACTAGCTAATCCTCACTCAGCCTCAATTTCTCATTCTAAATTGGACAAAGCCGGGGAACCAAGTTATTCAGTCTTACTCAAGCTAAAATCCCAACGAGGCCAACTAAGCCTTGAAAAATTGTGGGAGGTTGCGGTACTTTACTCCTGAGTTGCATCTGTTGTATAAAGGTGTTTCACTAATTAGGAGAAAAGAAACCTGAAGCACAGTTGTTTATTTACCCGAGCCTTGGTGCTGGCTCTGTATTCCTCATATTCTGTTGTTTCTGTCAAGCTTGTGGGCTTGTTTTACTGAAATTGGATTTTTTTTTTTTTCCTCTCCTCTCTTTTTCCCCCTAGACTGGCAGATAGCTACTCTTGCTTTGCTGTTGGGTGGTGCTGCCATCATTCTCATAGCTTTCCTGGTTGGGTTGATCTCTATCTGCGTGGGATCTCGGAGGCGGTTCTACAGACCAGTTGCAGTCATGCTCTTCGCTGTAGGTAAGCAGATTACCGGCACCATTATGAAAATTTCATGAGAGCAGCTTCACTTTTGTGAAGGAAGACATGCCATGTTCTGCATACTAATTCAGAGGTGTTTGGTTTACTTCTGTGTTACCTCCAGTGAGGTTTTCCAGGATACCGGTTCTGCACGGCATTAATCATTTTTGCAGTTGCACTGTTATTGGTTCATAAACAATTATTTATTTGCATTATATTTACTGCTTTGTGAAGCACATGCAGCAGGGGTGACTACAGAGGATAAATCTCAAAGTACCATTTTTAGTCTGTGGCTTTGTGCTGCTTGATGTCCCCATTTTTATTCTTCATGCAAAGCCATTTCTGTTATTTTAATGTTCTTCCTTTTACAGTTTTAAAACAGGAAAATTAATACTCAAATGTGAACCTTTGAAGCCCTACGTGTGAAAATAAATAGGATCATGTTGCAAAATGTTTATATATACCCCTGTGCCTTGAGGAATTAATTTAATTGTGTCAGCTTGCTTACTTAGTTACTAACTTAACAAGCTGTCACCATGCAGTCCCTCCTTGGTTTTAAAAACATGAAAATGGAACGGTTTCTATAGACTATCACAAAATCTTAAGGGAGACCTATGAATCTGAATTGTCCATAAGACTGGTCCAGTGAGGTATAATTACGGTACCAAATCATCTCCTTTTGTACGTTCTGGTGCTCAGGGCTTAGTCAGCAGGAATGTTTCTGTTTCTCCTGAGATTCACCAAGCATGGTTTGCCTTCATCCTGTCACTCATACCTGTATTGGAGACAGCAGCTTAAGTCCCTTCTGATAGCCTGTAATGAAGAGGATGACAGAATGTAGTCCTTGTGGGTTTTTTTAAAAAGCCACTTAGAAGGATATGAAAATATTAGAGCGCAGAATGCAGGATGTTCGCGGAGGAAACAAAGCTCCAGGGAAAGCTCCTGCTGCCCCCTGCTGCTAACGATATCTTGATTGAGCCACCGTGCTTTTAAGATGCGCTTTTATTTGCTTCAGAGATATTGGTAGGTTATATTTCATTTGCTTTTAGGAAATAAATGCAACCTAGGATCAGATTTCCTGAGAGGAAATCGTATCTTTTTGTTCTATGTGTCCCATTGCTTGCTTGGTTGAATAAACATATTATTGCCATTATTTTAAAATTTAATATTAATTCAGAGATTATAAAGCATGTTGGGCAGTTAACTTCAAAGAAAATGGGATTATTGAATTTCTGTAGTGGTTTCTTATTTGGCTTTTGACTTAATTTCTCCTAGGTATAGTAACTAAGTATAGTAACTTAGTAATTGTGCAGCCATACACTGCCTGTCTTGCCATATTGCTCATTTAGTATGTAGTTAAGTTTATTCTTAAAAAAAAAAATAAATTAGTTCTAGTCTTTATTATATAAGTTGAGGGAAGGGAGATTGATACATTACTTGCATCAAAAAGGAAAATATATTGGTGTTCACCTCTTTCCTTTGCACACACATGTGTGTGCATGTGCATTTTAAATAGCCATGACCTGAAGCATATAAGAAGAGAGATGATGAGGCCAAGACAGCCTGCCCCGTTCTCCTTCATTATCTTGCATATGTGAGGAGAATCCATTTGGGATTTGACACTGACACTGTTAGTGTAATTTCCTACAGATTTTATCTTTGATGTCAGCTGTTTTTAGAGGTGAATATGGACTGGCATATCTTGAAAGAATTATGGAAAGAATCCCCTACCGAAGAGGGAAATTTAAAATTGCGGCACAGTGGAGTTTGTGCCTTATGCAACTGTCCATGGATTGAAACCTTCACCTGTGGATTTCACAATCTTTGAGGATAATCCCTGTACCCTGACTTGTGAATCTGCTGACATGACAAAATATTCTCTGTGCCTCTGATTAGGAACCTTCTGCCTGCCTCTGGAAGAAGGACACAGGATAAATTGTCCAGAGACATTTAATAATCTGCATGGCTGTCAGGTAGAAAAAGTCACTGTGTGAGAGAAAGGACAATATGGAATAGTTGTTTCCAGGCCCTTTAGAGTCCAAAACAGTTGTCTCCAGGCAGTTTTTTTCTTCTAGATTGGATTTATTTTTATTTATTTTTGTCGCAGCTTCAGGTTTCAGTTAGTGACTCTGTAGGTGGTGAAGATTGACTGACTGGGGCTGGAAGAGATGATAAAGCAAAGGGAAAAAAAAATAATCAACACATACTGAGACTAAACCAGCAAGTGATCAACAGATGTAAATGTGTTTAAAATACATACAGGTAATGGAAAAACATGCAGCACAAGAGGCCACTGCAGAACACTCTTGTGCAAAGCCACCTTGGCTCACAGCTCTTTGCAACATTTTTGGTCTAGTAGAGCTCACTAGCTTACTTACTTGCTGGGGTGTCTTAGTGCTCATGAAACAAACTGACTCTGAAAGCTGCATCTTCAAAGTCCAATCTCATAAACTTGTCAGTGTACAAGTCTCATGATATGGTTACCAGAAAACTGAGTGCTAACCGACCCTAAATTTAGAGGTAGAAAGTGTAACTGTTGAAAGTCCATGAAAGCGAACAACAAAGGTAATTAAAAAAGATTCTGGAACTATGTTTTAAAAGTGCTTAGAAGAACAACCTGTTGAGGTTAGTAAGCTTTTAACAGTTCACAGGATGTTTTTATGTATATACTAGGGAAGCAGTGGCTAAGTGAAAGTATATGGGTAAGGGAGTAAAAAAAATGACAGCAGATAATATTTGGAGAATGGTTTTTGGACAGGAAAACTGTTGTAGCCAAACATTTGAACAAGGGGAAAAAAGGTGATATTTTCCTAGTTTTAAAGTGTTTGTGATTTTTGTATGCTTAATATGGTGGGTACCTATAGTTTCATATATTTCATGTAAATGGATCAAAACTAATATTGCTGTTCCTGTGCAATTGTCTTGCAAGCATCATAGTGCTAGGCATAAAAATGGATCTAAACTTGAAGCGAATAGTCTAGTTTGAGATGACTAGTCTATTTTGAATAGCACTTTGAAGTGGAATGTTTAAGATTTCTTTTGCAGCCTTTTTTTTTCTATAAGAGAAGACTAGCACTTCGGAAGAAAGTAGTACATATACTTCCCATAAGCAGGTCAACAAAGCATGGGGTTCCTTTAAATTCATCAGACGTGGATCAGTAGTTGCAAGCATTGGTTTTACCATCTTTTGGGTCATACTAGTAATTTTTCACTATTTCACTAGCTATTTTTTCTAGCCTATACAGGTCCCTTCCCACTGTAAAGGGAGCAGCAGTGATGGGAGGCAAAGTAATAGCAGTATTATGCAGCGTGACTGTTTCCACTGGCCAGTTGCTGCCAACACTTCCTTTGAGTTTGTCAGTGGTGTAGCTGGACCAGTAGAAGCAAAAGCAGGAACCCTCACTATAAAAATGTTTAAAATGCCTGTTGTTGTGGGTTTTGCTCCTTTAGCTACATGTTACGCTTCCGATAGAGTCATGGTCTCAGCAGAGATGCTTCAATCCTACTTTGGGAATGCACTGAAGAACTTGCTTTTATTCATTCATCTTAGCAAATCCTTTCTGACTTTGAATGGTCTTAAAGATGTGTCTGAAAGCTGAGCATATTTTCAGGTGGGTTTGGGTGTAATGATGCTCTCATTATGCGGAATTGGAATGCATGATCTTTTCGAAAGAGTAGGCACTTCTCCTAGTGTAGGCTGTCAAAATTTCTCTGTCAGAATTACTGTGTTGCGCAGTATTTTGTGAGCTGTCAGACAAAAATTATATTAAAATGGAATAACACAAAGTAACACTCAATAACTTTAGGATTTAAAAAGTCCTGTGGATTTTGTTATCCACATCAGAATAATCCACTATCCAAACATTATTCAGATTGTCAGTCCTCCAGTAAGAGCCTATAGACTAGTCTGTAGGCTAGGTGGACGGGGAGGGGGGGAAGAAAGTGTTGTCACCGAGGGTGTGCAATGAACATTGGAAATCATTTCCCCATACCAGTCCCCATCCAGAGGACAGGAGAGTGTTAAGTCTCCAGAGCTAATGAAAGATGCCAGTTTGACAACACTAAAGAGTGTGTGTGTAACTGAAAAGGCAAACAACAGATTTTGAGGGTGCAAAATGTTCAAGCAAGTAGGAGAATATGATTAACGTTATTTTATTTTCCTGTAATTTCTCTAGTGTAATTTCAGAAAAGCTTCTGTAGTCTGAGGTAGTCTTCCTTCTTATTACCCACTGGCATTTTATATCGGTGCTGGCTTTATAACAATTTTCTAAATAGTGTTCGTTCTCCTTACAATACCTAATAAACTGTAAAAAATAAGCCAGTCAATGTTAAAGAGAGCAGTTATTGGGGAATTGCATTCCATACCATTGAACTTTCATCACAGTATGTCTCTGGGCTGCAAATACTTAGGCATGAGCTTAACTGTGTGGCTGTGCCCACCCTGACTGCAGTCAGGGGGCTGGGGTAGCGTGCATGGGCAGTCACGTGCTGAAGTTTTAAAAATTGCTAGCGTTAAATGCTGGAAAGGAGTACTGCCATAAGGCCACATCATATATCTGAGGGGCAAAAAGGATGTTTTATACATTCCTGTGGTGTTTAGTCTTTTGTGGGTGGCAGAACTAGAGGCCTGAAGAATCACTAGGTCATACAGCTTGTTCTTGTCTTCAAACTGAGTGTAATTTTCACCTGCTTACCCTGGAAACTCTTGTCCCAATTTTCTTTTAACAGTGCGTCTGAATTTAAAAGAGAAGGGATGCCAATGAAACTGAAATCTTCTTGTGAATATTTGGTTTCTTTATCTGTTTTCCTTTTCAGGTTACTATATGTGTTGGTTTGGGTTTGTTTTTTTTTTTTTTGTGTAACACAATAATTAACAGATTTCCCAAATTCCACTGCAGACATGTGGATCAGGCTGCAGGAGATCTGGCTCTCAGAGACAGTGCTGTAGAAAGTAATGATTTTTAAACTTTTTACTGCCTCGGATTTGGTCTGATTTATTAGCTTTTTTTCATCACGAAGCATTTCTGACCCACCTCCTAAATTCGTAATACAAGGCAATGTTTTGCCAGTTGCAAGTTTAGTGACTGATGAAAGTTTATAGATTCCTTGGTATTCTGTGTAACAGTATCATTAATTCTGATTACAGTACACAGTAATGCATATGAAATATGTAATTCACTGAGTCTCTACTGAACATAAATATGTATCAGCTACTACAATGAATTATTTCTGGGCTAAGTAAATGATTTGATTCTGAGCTATATTTTGTAATAGTCGTTTATTCTTGCTTCTCATTTTGACATTTATAATAGCTATGGAACAAGTGATCTTAGTTTTGTTATTATCGAAGGAATAATAACTGCAAACTAAAACACAAAGGAGAAACAGAAAATAATCACGGAAAGATTACTTTCACTGTTTATTTCTTGCACATCTGAAGGATCATTGTTATACCATAGCAATAACATTTGTTCATTGATGAGGGAATATGGAAGGACAGCTCTGTTTTCTGTGATTAGAAGGAAGGTGGCTTTTTTGTTGTTTGTTTTTTGTTTGTTTGTTTGTTTGTTTTCCAAAAAGAGCAGTATTTTCAAGCTAAAAATGCACCAAGAGCATTTTAAATGTGAATTTCAGTTATGTGATGTTTTCCTGGTTTTATGTAAATGAACTGAGTCTGTTTCTAATAATTGCTCTTTTTTCTCTTTCAGTTGTTCTTCAGGTGTGCAGCTTAGTCCTTTACCCAATCAAGTTCATCGAAACGGTCAGCTTGAAAATATACCATGAGTTCAACTGGGGCTATGGCCTGGCTTGGGGTGCAACTATATTTTCATTTGGGGGTGCCATTCTTTATTGCCTGAACCCTAAGAACTATGAAGACTATTACTAGAGTCATTTAATGAAAAGAAAAATAACAAAAGGATTACCCCATCTTTTCTAACTCACAGTTTTTTAGAACACTTGTGGAGCACCAAACAGTCTGCTCTATTGATAAAATAGCCTTTGCCTTTTGGGTGTGAACACTATAACCAGCTTTTACAACCATTTAAAAGAACTGCAAACACTAGGATTGCTGATCTTACATAGGCATATGCTGCAAGCTGCTGATACATAAGCTTCATTTTTCCTGACAACAAGCAAAAGGATCTACGTGACAGCGATCATTGTGAGAAAACTAGTTGGAATGAGAATGCAATGCCAACATCTGCTGTTGCCTTCAGGGGAGCAGCTGGTATAGGCTCCATTTAGAAGTTTCCCTGTATGATAGAGGATTCAAATATCTGATAAGCAGGCAATGGCATCTTGTACAATAGGCTGTGTTGGTCCCTTGTTACTTGCTCAAAAAAGCTCTTAAGGAATTAGTTGCAAGTGACTGTGTTGAGGGCAGCGAATGTAACTGGTTAATGACTTGTCTAATGGCTGCATTCAACAGTCTTCTGGAAGAATGATTTAAAAAAAAAAAAAAAAAACAACAAACAAACCAAGCCACCAACCACACAAGATTTCATGAATTGGTAATCGACAGCACCGTGCCAACTGTAGCAGATTGTTGAAGGAAATCCAAACCTGGAGACATGTGCTTCTGACTGTGTAGTTGGAAGTTGTCTCAGCTCCGAGTATTTTGCTGGGAGGGTGGAGTTAAGGGGGAGTAGAAAAAGACCTCATCTGTCCCTGAGGCATATAAATGCATGAATGAATTGCAGCTGTCCTAAGTACCCGTTTAACTTAATGAAAAGAATGCATATGGAACAAGTTCAGTTATATTTTTGAAAGGTATTTGTTAGTATAAATGAATATATATAATACAAATATAAATGCAGAGGGAGAGAGACAATTTGTCTTAAAATTGTAATATGATCTGTGATGCAGTGGTTAAAATACTAACTTTGTACACACTCTTGAGAATCTTGGATTGGTACCCCAGTTTTGGCTGCTGTTACAAAATAAACATAAAATGATTTGTCTTCTGTATATGCCCTTGTACAGACTCTGTGTTATGGGAAATGCTTAAAAGTTCACATCAATTTAAGGCAGAACTGGATGAAATAACTATTTGCTATTCCATGTGTCATTTAGTACTTACTAAAAATTGTTTTCTAGGGCTGTTGCAAAGAAAAAACAGTCATTTTTAAAAATCTAGTTAGGTTGTGAGTGTCTCTGACCATCAGAAATACAGCTGAGACCCATCATGTCTGTATTAAAACATTAGGTCTGCAGGAGGTAATTTCTTGTTTTCAAAAGCTGTGTTTATAATGGACTGGCTGATGTACATCAAATTACTCCTTGCTTAGTATGTTTCCCACCTAAAACATCTAGAGACTGTTCACATGAAATGAAACCCAAGTTTAATTAGGGACAACTTTTACATGAATTTAGTCCACATGGCTTTTATTTTTGTTTACGATTTGCTTATTTGGATATTTTCAATTAATTATGAACATATTTTTATACGATTCTTATCTTTAAATTAACTATTTTTTTTAATGGAGAAGTTTAAAATATATTCTATGTGGGCCTCCACAAAAGCAGATATGCTGAGGTTACCCATCCACCTCTACAGAAATGGTTTTGCTGGTTCCACTGAAAAGACTGATGAATTACTCCGTGTTAAGACCACATCTACAGTGTTAATGCTTGTGCCACCATTGGCAGGGTGAACAGGTTCTTCAATGACCATGGGACCACAGGGCTGCCTTTAGGAGGTTGTTGTGAAAGTATTGCTGATATATGGAGGTGGTTTATAAAACTCTGGGACTCTCTGGAGTTAAATCTTTACTACCATGGCAGAATATTCTGTATCAGCAGTCTTTCCAGGACCAGTGATGATTAATTAGATTAGACGGAGAAAAATGGTAGCCTGACTTGGAAGGGATTGTATGGCAATGCCTGGAGAACAAAAAGGATGGGTGGAAAAATTATGTCCACTTGTTTCACAGGTGCTAGAGAGCATTTGTCACTCTGCTTTTTTTCCTGAGACTGACTTAAAGCAGATATTCAGTATAGAGTTAACTCTGGTATCTTTCTGAACAGCTGTGTAGTTTTGCTTTTATTTAGCAGCATGGAGAACATTGTAGTTTGGCATGGGAATTAGTTTAATGTAGAGAAGCCCACTGTGAGAAGATCTCTGTACCTTTCTAGGGGAACGGTGGTTTGGTGCTGACGTTGCGTGGCACTTCGCCTGTGCTGACAGGAAGGTACAGTGCCGAGACCATACTGTATCCACTAATTTATCAAGTAATTTTTCTTTAGGTACAGTTTGAGCGAAAACAACTTGTCAGGCATAAGGCATATGCAAATTAATGACACAAGCTCTGAAAGTCACCTGGCTCTTAATATGAAAGATGTTCAGGCAAAAAACCTACAGATGTGAATGCCTGAAGACAAGGTTCTTCATTCATATTTGAGTAAGAGATCTGATTTTCAGTTTGAACACCTGCTTTTCCTCTTGAAGATAATGCAATCTATTAGGACACACCTCTCAAACTCCTCAGGTCCTTTGTGTTTGGGCATCTAGTATATGGGTTCAGGTACCTACCTTTAGCTTATGTTGCTACTGCTGTTTCTGCTTTTTCCCCCTTACTGTTGCCAATTTTGGCAAGTATTCTGTTTCTCAGCACTGAAGTAAAAGTAAATACAATGTTATGCTGATAATTTTATTTTTTTCTAGCCACAAAAAGGATACGTGTCTGTCTTGAGTGTACGTATGACAAATTAATCATTTTGTATGTTGTGCTTGTCACCATTGTTTCAGTTGTTTGGCTTTATTTCACTGGCAGGATGATTCTCTCACACAACAAATCCATTGTTTTTCTTCCAAATATATATGAATAAATATATATATATATATAGCAAACTTGCAAGCAGGGCTAGTTATTTGTATTTTTTAAGCTTAAAGGATACCGTCCGGTGCTGATAAGTACCTAGCACCTCTTCTGGATTTCTTGCACAACTTGGTTTAGCTTTTGTAAATTTTAAAAACAAATATAGAGAGACCTATGTGTTTGAAATATAAATGATATATATGGATTAGCATGTAACTGTATATTATTAAACATGCAATGAACTGACTGGTAAGTGAAGTCTAATCTTATGGCTAGCAATGTAATTTATTCAGACTGTATTTTTGTACAGAGCAGTGCACACTAACCTATTGCCTCTGTGTCCTCTATAATGCCTAAAACTGTGCCTAGAAATTTCGTTTCTGTCTTTAAAGGAAAAAAAAAAGAACTAAATGCTTCATGTTGTTGATGGTTTTTCTGATGTTCTTTATTTATTTTTGAGAAGTGTATGGTATGTTTATTAAATGAATCCATCAAAACATGGTTCATTTTAAATGGTCATTGTTAGCAGGGAAAGACACATGTTTTTTTTAATCAAGACTTTTAAGTTTGCAGTTTTAATACCATTTCTGCATTTCACGATTTTTGTAGCTTACATAAAGTTATATGTGAAAAAGTAACTGAAATAAAAAAAAAAAAAAAATTGTTACACTAACCAAATGTGCCTGTTTTGCTCTGAGTGGAATATGTTTATATGTATATGTATGCAGCTGAAACTGGCCTGGTTTTCTGTTGGGCAGGCTGAGAAGGAGTATTACCAAAATACATGGGAGTGGGGGAGAGAGGGAGAGATGCAGGATCTTGCTGATGTAACCCCTCCATCTCACCTAGCCACGGAATATGTAGCATAGGGTGGGTGTCCGTATCACACAGCCCATAATGCTTTTGTAAAAATGCAATTATTGTAGCATCAGAAAAACAAATTGCTTTTAATGTGGTAAATAACAAGGCCATGTGTTGAAATGGGAATCTATACTGAGCACCTTGTTCCAGTGGAGAAATTTATTAATTATATACACATTTCTTTCTCACATTTCCAATAAATAATACTTTTTTCCATGTTAATTCTGAAAGCCAGGTTACTTTTCACCCTGAAAAAAAAACAGGTACTGGTTTTAAACCTGAAAACATGGTGTTGCAAAAAATGGAAAAGCAGGTTTAAAACACTGAAGATGTGATACTGTCTTGTTTCTACTGTTTGTAATGTATTGCCATCCTCTGCATTACTGAGTACCTCTCATGTGAGCAGGCAGCAGGGTGAGGAAGAGGTTGCCAGCAGAAAGTGATAGCAGAATTGGGGGCAGAAGCCTGGGCTTCAGCAGAGTATTGCAGTGAACAACTGTGGGCACGAGGGCAGGGTGCACAGTGTGGAAATCAAGTAATGGAAAAGGAATTCAGAGCAGGGTGTGAGGATCATGAGCAGCAGGAAGGGAGGAAAGGATGGGGAATGTCAGAAGATTTGTTTTCTTTTGAACCACAAGTACAATGAGGGAGGAAGTGCATAGGGAACTGTGAACCCACGACCACTGGGGAGTGAGGGAGCAAGCCAGACGTGATGGATGGCGTATTTCTTGAAACCTGCATTGGAATTGTAGTGAATGTGGCTTTAGGGGGCATATAGCCCAAGGGTTTGACCTGGGCTTAATGCCCAAATTTTAGGTCATCTGTGTACCTACATGTTGGCATAAGGTCAGAGGGGCCCACTGGCTTACCAGGGGAAGGAATTTAATGTAGGGTGAGGATGCCTTACTCAAACCATGTCTAGACAAACATGCTGAATGATAGGAGCACTGGCTTGGCATGAGCTAGTGTGTCCTCGATGTACCGAAGATATCCCAGCAAACTTGACAGTTTTGAGCAGCATTGCACAACATGTTTGGTATCTTTTTTGCTGAACCAGATGAAGTGTGGCTGGATGTACAGCTTGTTGTGAACAAGAGAAAATGTGTGGAAGATGGTGTACAAGCCCAAGTTTGTTCCTACCAAAATGCAGTTTGAACATGAACAAGCCACAAAGCATTTGGTGGAAACAAATGGTTTGAGGTCTGCAAATGGTTCTGAAAATTCCAGCATACAAATTTGGGTAAACATAGCCAAAGCAAAATTCTTTGGGACTTTACAAAATCTTCTTTTAAGTTGATATTTTGGTGTTTTGTGTGTGGATGGGAAATTGTAATGCTTGCTTGTTTCTGTACCTTGAGGAAGTACTTCCAAAGTCAATGTTTTTGTGTTAAATGTATAGGTGTGCTGGGATTTTGGAGGTACAGAAGATTTTCCTGCTGTGTCAGTGACTTCCTGGCACTCTGTTGATGGAAAGCAGTACTCTTGGGCTTTTCCAACAGACAGTAGCTTTGAAGAGGACTTTAAATCTTCCAGGTAGCCAAAAAAGCTGAGTGTATGGATTTTGATCTGACAAGCATTGCAGCCTACAGGAAGGCTAAGTTTTGTGATTTTTCTCTTGTTCAGTTAATACTTACACCAAGTTTTTTTGATTTGTGAGCAGAAACACTGGAAGCAAGCAACCAAGTGGAACACAATAGTTCAGTGACTCACTGAGAGCATGGTTTGTACATAGTTCCCTGACAATAAACCAAATGGGTCTGCAATCCAGTAGTCCATTGCC